CCCCAAAACCCCAAAACCCCAAAACCCCAAAACCCCAAATAAATAAGCGAGTATTGAAACATTAATTAATAAATATGATTAGCAAATCATTCAGGATAAATGATATCAAAGGGAAAAAGAGTGTTAGTTCTCCTATTCAAGATCTGAGTTTTAATTTTTCACCCAAGAGGACACCAATCCCTATATCAGATAAAGTCAAGCTTGTTAGAAGAGTGGAGTATTACAGAGTATGTTTCGATTCTGATGAGATACCATTAACCTCATGTTTTTGGTAACTGTAATCTGAAATTTCAGATTCCTCAGTTTAATATATCCTAATCCTTGTCTTTAGCAATGTAATAAAGAAGCTTTACCAAAAGACAAAGCAATTAGCATAAGTCATGCTTGAGATGGAGCATTGGCATCAAAAAATTTGGTTTTGCCAGCTAAGCAAAAGTTTGATCAAAGAAAGATGACTTTCTTTAGCAATGGTAGAGCCAGAGGAACTATCAAAGCCAGATGCTTTTCGCCCAACCCAAAGAATTTGCACTTAAATATGATAAAATTTGTTAGAAGGAAGATAGATTGCCTAAGCTCTGAACGGAGCAGACTAGTATCACCAGATAAATTGAGAGTTAAAGTCCAACTCATGACTAGGTACGGTAACGAGCAAGCTTAAATTTTATTTGATTCTTCAATCAGTGTCTAAATTTTTAGAATAAACCGAAATTTCAAAGAATACGACTTTGGAAAAATTAAATTTAGACTTCCTAAGCTTGATGGTGAACAATGGAACAAGAGAAAAGGATCTCAGATGCCATTTCTTAATAATTTGTCTCTGTAATAACTTTTGAAACACTCGCTTCCAGAAGTTTGGCAATTTAATAACATATTCTATCTTGGTAAACTGGAAAATTATTGTATGAAAAATCTCGTCCAAATATCATATAATTTTTACAGTGATGATGCCTCAATTAGTAAATTTAGCTCTTCATAATTTCACATTCCCTCTTGATTACATATGTTTCAAGTAGTCAATAACATAATAGAGATTAAAGCTGTAAAAACTACTCCAAACCTTCTTATCTCTCTCATTTGCATCTGAAATTACATAGCTTCTAATTAAGATAGTCGAGTTTAGTTGCGATAATAATGTCCTAAATTCTTTCTAAATATTATCAATAGAATTCCAGAAAAGCTTCTCGATCAAAAAGACCTTATCCTAAATTTCATCTCTTCTTTTGCTCTTTTTACTTCGAAGGTTATTGTTTGAAAACTCAGGATAAAGCATAAGCCAATAACTTTCCAAATTCCGAAGCAGACGTTCCCAGATTCTTTCAGTACTAAATTTTGGTGAAGCTATCGTTTGGGTAAACTCAAATTAATAAACTAGTTGCACCCAGAATTTGCATTAATAAGCTTATTGTTGACTATCAAACCCTCTGAAATCATGTGTACATGAAATGACAGATTCTCAGAAGATAGGATTTGTTCTAATTTTTAGTAAAGTTTTTAATACTTTAAACTTACTATTTAATGTTACAGTAAGTATTCTCAAAGCTTATGTTTTCGAATCGAAATCTGAACTTGAGATCAGAAATATCAAACGCCTCTGGCTTTAAAAATATAATCTTGATTAAGTGAAGAAGCAGAGATTTAGTTCCTCTAGTGCTTATCAAAAATTAAGCTTCGATAAACACGGAATGATTTTTTCTGTACTTTCCAATATAAAAGGGATATCATTAGCATAAAATTTATAAGAAGCCTTGTTAAAACACTTACTAAGCCTGAATCATTTGAGAAAGCTTATTATCCTCACTCACTCTCTTCAGCTAATTTTTAAAGTTTTTCTCCTACTTTATTCATCTTTTGGTGAAACATCAAGTCCATAATTTCTATCAGTACAGATTGGAAATACTTTCCAAGAAGAGTGGCTATAAATTTTATAAAGAAATGATATACTTCCCAAAAATATCAACCAGAATGCTCATCAATCATGAAGAAGGAAATCTTCTTAAGACCTGATTATTCACCACTTCTAATTCAGAAGTTATGTGGTTTAAGAGAATTAACGGATGTCTAAATATACAAAAGCTTTAAATTACCTTAGTTTTCAGACTTATCCAGCCAGGATTCTTCTTTAAGTATCATCCTCAAAGGAAAATATTAAGCTATAGAGTTGCACAACCGTCTTGTTTAGAATTTGTGTTGAAAGGATACCTAGTTTAAGAGCATTAAGCTTAAGCACTCCAGTCGGCTTGTAACCATAAATTTCATACGAATACGTAATCATGAAAGTAAATTATTCATACTGGCTAAATCAGTTTAAGTTCGTGTTTCTAGAACTTCAGGTCAACTTTGCGATAGCATAGCAATACAGAGAAGTTATAATCAAGCTCTCTAAACAAGAGTAGGCTTAAAATAAACTGTGAAAACCTTCTTTTAGTTTTAGAATATTTTTTCAGGAGAAAATCCAGTAATAATATTCTCTGAGAATAATGCATATAATTAAGTGAGGTAAAAAACCGATATGTAAGGGCATCTTTTTTATGTTTTTTTTAGATAAAAGAATCATTTTAACTCGTATAAATCATTTAGAGTTCAATAACTTTCATTGCTTCTAAAGTTGGGATTGTCTAAGAGTTCTTGATTATGCTTGCCAATTTGAAAAAATCATTGTTCCAAAGTATAGCCTAACTTTAATATTAAAATAAATCTATAATTAGCACGATATCTGTAACTGGAGAGGAAAAAGCTTCCTTAAAAATTCATAAAAAAAAAACATGTATAAAATAAAAACACTTTCGATTTGGAGTTCTAATTGCTATAAATATTTAAGAAAACCGCTAATTCAGATGTCTTCTAAAAGCAACTCCAATAAGAAATCCTTTCAGTACCGACTAATATTATATATCTAACCATGAAGGCCACTTATGACTACTTCTACAAAGCTTCTAGAGCTCTCATCTGCTACTAAAGACAAGATTCCACCAAAAGACCCTAAGATTTCTACCAATATTCACCAACAGAGACCCTCATTCACCAAATATTACCAAAACGTGCAAAGAAATACCTACCAAGAGATCCTAATTCCCTACCCAAACAATCATCATCAATACAGCATCCACCAAACTATATCATAAAAAAGCCCCTATTATCCCTTCGCAATAAACCATAACATTCCGAGTAATTATTGAATTATTTCAATTTAATAACCTAAGAAAGGGGTTTTGGGGTTTTGGGGTTTTGGGGTTTTGGGG